ATCTCTTGACCACTCCGGACCCTCTGGATTTCCCGTCCTTGCTCTGCTCTCGATCCGTGATGTTGACCAGCTGCAGGAGGAGCCCGTCCCTGCCTGTCCTGCAGCCACCCCACCCCCCACCACCCTGCACACCCACAGTCTCGGCATGCTGCCAGGGGAGACCTGCCTCGGGAGACACCCGAGGGCTGCCATGTGCTCAGGTGATCCAGGACACCCCTTGTGTCCCTAGATGCTAGAACAAAAGAAGCAAGTGGAAAATACCCAGAACCGGGGTGAGTGATGAGGCAGGTTGGGATGCACGCTTGCAGATATGGCTTTGGCTTCAAGACCAGCCAGATGCCTAGTGTCTGTTTCATCTCGACTGAGCTGACGGAGGAGGCACCATGCATCTGCGAGCACTTGCGTGTGGTTAGTGAAACTGAGGACCCCGATATGTAATCGGCTCGAGCCAGTGTAAACAGAAGTGGCATCTGTGGCCAGTGGCTCCCGTGTGGGCCCATGCCGCTCTGGGGCTCCACCAGATTCAGGCTGGGAGTGTGGGGTTTCTGGCCTCCAGGTGGCTGGCACCATGTGCTCAGATCCGGCTGTGATGGAGCCCCATCCCCCTGCACCTCGTGGCATTGGCAGCTATTGACCCATTGGTAACCACTGTCAGATCATCATTCGGGGACAGGGTGAGACCTTTGGTGTAAGGTGATCGCGGACACTACAGAGGCAGAAGAGGGTGTTCTGGTGCTGAAGGAAAAGACGATGTATGCGGAGGACAGACAGGTACTTCCAGCACGCAGAGAAGGGGGCCCCACGCGTGGGCTGGAGTCCAGGAGGATTTCCTGCACGAAGGAAGGACAGCCGTCCACACACCAGGAAGAGTCGGTTCAAGAGAAACACGCCCTGGCCGTGTTCTCGAAGATCATACTCTTCAGGTGGGAAGAGACAGGCCCCGGTGACAAGTCGGAAGCTGCAGGCTCCCCAGAGGGATGCTTAGAGCCAGGAGGCCACAGAAGGGTCTGCAGGAGCCAGGGCAGTGCGAGCAGCCAAGGACCGCTCACATGTGGGCATGGCGAGAAGACGTCCTCAGACACAAGAGAACTGGACCGTGGCACCTGCTCGTGATCCGCGGGGGTCCTGTCTCTAGCTCAGGACAGACTCCCCAGCAGAGCCCGCTGCTTCCAGTTTCCTCCTTACCCAGGTCCCCAGTTTTCACGTGAGCTTTGGGGGGGTTCCTGTGCAGCATCTGGGGATGGGCGGGTATGAGAGGGTCAGGCTCCTGGACCCTCCTGCTGTACCTGGGTCTCTTTTAGGCTTACGTGGCTCATGTATGCTTTCAACTCATGTGAGGTTCACTGCTGAAGGTGTTCTAGAAGCAGACCCTGGGAGATCGTGGTCTCCCATCACCCTGGTGTTTGTTTGGTGAACGAACATCAGTTAAGGCGAAGCCGAGATGGGCTCTTGGTGGGGTTGTGGAGCCAAGCCCAGGTGTGTAGAATCCAGCTTCACGTGGCCTGGTGCAGAGGGCACAAGGTGATGTTGGGTCTCCGTCACCACAGCAGCCTTGCTGGTTGGCCACCTCATGTCAGGAGATGACTGTTGTCATGGTGATGGGGGCAAAGATGGTGGCAGGGGAGAAGGCTCTTCAAGCTGTGGTCAGACATGTCGCAGGAGGTTGGCCTGGGGCTTCTGCGTCCCGTTCCCATGATGCCTACAGGTGTCAGTAAAATCTTGTAAGACTGGCTGTCAACCCAGCAGCTTAGAGGCAGGGGTCGGGCTGCGTGTCAGGGCTGGCGGGGTGACGTTTCAGACTAATTCTTAGACTCTTCCGTTACTGTTCCTCTCCTACCCCAGACTTGCTAATTGAATGGTTCATCAGCCTGGAATACATTATTATGTGATTAAAATTCTTTGCACGAAAAAAGTGCATCTCTCACTAATTCCGTTTATTAATTATTAAAGCTCTTTGTTCTGATCTGTGTCACTGAAGCCCTTGGAAATTACATCTTCCTTTCATATTACAGTTAGCTTCTCCTCGGCAGCCCGAGGTTTTAAACCAAACCCTGAAGGTGTCACATTGAAAACGACGTGTCTGTGCGGCAGCCCTGGCCTGCAGTGGCTTCCGGGGTCCCTTCTGTCCCCGACTTCGGGGCATCTGAGGAAACAAGCGATAGCCGCCCCCTGTTTCCATTCCTTCGTCCAGGTGGGAGTGGGGGTCGATTCTCAGAGGGTCCGTGCTCAGACGTACCCCTCCTCTGCAAACGAGCGTCTACACAAAGAGGGTCAGACACAAAAGGACAGATCCCGTGGGATCCCATGGCTATGAGGTCTCTAGAGTTGTCAGAAGGGTCGGCACCAGGGGGTGGGGGGCGGGGGTGAGCGTGTAATGGGACAGTTTCCATGTGGGAGGTTGGAGTTCTGGAGACAGACGGGGGATGGTGGCACAACAGTGAGAACATGCCTGCTGCCCCCCGGGCTGCGCACTGAGGTGGTTAAAATGGTAAATTTATGGCACGTGTTTTTACTGGAGTTAAGAACAAAGGTTGGAGTCGCCCAGCATCTGAAAGAGCGACAGCACTTGCCATTGCTGCTGGTGCAGGAGACTGGCCCTGCTGGTCAACAATGACGCTGCCACCGTCCCAGGAATCGCTATGGTGCCGGCTTGTCTGCCCTGCGTCCCGCACACGCTGCCCTTCCGGAAGACAGCTGTCTGGGCGTTTGAGCTATGCCAGAGTCCCAGCAAAAACACACGACCGTGGGCTCAACCAAGGTGTTTCTGAAGTCGAGAAGGCAGTGAGCGGCCTCTGTTAGGTGCACGTGTTGTATGCTGACCTCTGAAGGCTGAGAACGGTGTCCTGGGCTTGTGTGCCCCACGAGAACCTCGATGGTGACGCGCTCCCTCCGCTCTGCCCACAGGTGACCTATGGCTCCTTTGACTACACCTCGCTGCTCTACCTCTCTGACTACCTGGACGACTTCGGTGGAGGGAGATTTGTGTTCGTGGAGGAGGGGGCCAACAAGACAGTGGAGCCAAGAGCAGGTAGGGCCCTCACGCGGCAGCCCAAGGCTTGGGCAGATGCCCAGCGATGCTGCGCTTGCCTGGATGCGTCTGCTGGTCCTGGACCCCCAGGGGCCCCATCGCCCACGGTCGCTGCCGCCATGGCACAGCGGTTCCCAGAGCCCGCCCCTCCCTGCCCTGTGGTGCACTCCCCAGAGGGACTCAGCAGCTCACGTGAGGTGATACTCCCAACCTGACGATGTTGATAACAGCACTGAGCACTGGGGCTTGCCTCCCCGGACACAGTGCGGACACTCAGAGCTGCCCAGTGAGCAGGTGCTGGGCAGATGACGTGTCCCTCCCTCTGGCACTTGTGGGGAAGAGGGGGGACTCACAGACAGACCCGGCCACTTGGCTCCAGCCCAGGTACCTCGGACAGCGCCAGTGCCGTCCACCTGCTGCCGCGTCTCACCTGTGCCTGTGGCATTGTCCTCACCTGCTCACTGGGCTCCTGCCGGCTGGGAGCTCGGTCAGGCCAGTGAGGGTGCCCACCTGGCTTGGCCAGAATGTTCCTGTCAGCCATGGGGCAGTCCCCCAAGCTGGTGGGTCCAAACTGCTCCTTGTAGTAGCTCTGAATTGGACACCAAGTGGCTTGGAAATCAAAAGGCATAAAAAGGAAATTAAACCTCTCGGTGTTTGCTCTCCTCCCTCCATGGGGTGAGCACAGGAAGAGGTGTAGACCTGGGCTCAGTCAGTGGGCAGGAGGGGCCCTGGACACCCTGCAGTTCCAAGGCTTTAATGGATAAAGAACCAGAGAAGCTTCTGTCACTGAGGCTGGGTGTTACATGCACATGCTTTTGAGAGGTGCCCTTGTTGTCCCAGAGAAAAGAACACGCAGGATTATAAACACTGAGTTTCTCTCACACGCTTGGTTACTCAGTTGCTGAGCTCAATCTCTAAGTTGTTTACTGAAGAGTGTAAAAAGCCAGAAAGTACCTTTTTGTGAATACTGAAATGTTTTGTGTTTATAGAATTGGGTGGGCAGTACAACTCGATGCACCCCTGGAGGATATAGTCCTGAAGGATGTGGCCTTGGGGCACACGGCTCTGAGGGACATGGTTCTGGGGGTCATGGCCCTGGGAGACTCTCCCCTGGAGACCCACTGCTGGGGGACGCAGGTCTGGGGGACGTGGCCCTGGGGGATAGGTTCTAGGGGACGTGGTTCTGGGAGACATGGTCCTGGGGGACATGGCCCTGGGGGACAAGGTTCTAGGGGATGTGGTTCTGGGTGACGTGGCCCTGGGGGACATGGTTGTGGGAGGCATGGTTCTAGGAGACGTGGCCCTGGGAGACAAGATTCTGGGGGATGTGGCCCTGGGAGCCCCACCCACCAGTGTAAATGTTACGGGTCTGTCTTGCGCTTTGCCTCGTGTGGTGAGTTAGCAGCGCTGGTCCCTGGACAGATGATGATTTCATCCTCTGCTAATAATTTCCTTGTGGTTCTGATACAAGCGGCCTGCCACTGGGTTCTTCAGAGCATTTCTGTGGTACCTACTCTTACTTAATTACTATGGACTTTTCACCAGTCAGAATCAAGTGTAGGGCTTACCTGCTGGTTGGACAGGACAGAGGGGCTCAGGATTGTGCAGCCGGTGCCATACTTTTCTCTAGTTACCACACCGGCACTTGATGGGGTCTGAGGGCCTCTTTCCAGGTGGACAAGATGAGAGGCAGCCACACTATTTTATACAATTGACTGTGTGCTGTCCCTGCCTGGGGCTCAGCGAGGTACATTCGTGCCACAGACATCGTGGGAGCTGTCGTTTGACTCTGGAGAGACGCACAGCAGCTCACCCACCAATGAGACCAATTTAAATATTATGGTTCTTGCCTTGGACAGTCTCTCCTCTCTTGTGGAAATTCACAGGAAAATACACACAATAAAATACACACTTACATTTTCCCACTCATTCGATCTTTCCAGAATCACTCTTTTCCGTATATCTGGGTTTCCAACGGGGACCATTTTTCTTTGGCCTTAACACTCCCAGCCCCATGGGTCTGCCAGCTGTGGCTCTTCTGTTAATGCCCTCATTTCACCTTTTCTAGCATATTTCCACTGGCTGTGAAATTCTGGAGTGATAGAATTTTCCTTTCTCTGTAGAAACATCATTTTATTTTCAGGTTCCATTCTTGCTGAGGGAGAGTCATTGTCAGGGTCACTGTCCCCATGGTCACTGCCTTTTTTCTCTGCTGCTTCCAAGATTTTCCCAAATGACTCATTTCATCTGTTTGACTGTGATGGGCCTCCGCGTCCCACTCGGGGTTGGCTACACCGATTGGATTGGATTGGATTGGATTGGGTTAAAAAGCCAGGTTTTCACGGCTTTGGGGAAAGTTTGGGTCATTGTTTCCTCAAGTTCTCTTTTTCTGTCCCAATGTTAACTTCTTCTGAGGCTCCAACAACATGAATGGTGGAAGGCTCTGTATTGTCCCAAGGTCCTTTTCTCTGCTCTTCGGCACCTCTGTCTACAAACAGTGCGGAAATGCTGGAAGGGACACGGAGACCCCTACTCTTACTGTGCGTCCACAGACACTTGAGAACTGCGTCTGTCTACATGGGCAGAGGGGGTGGATGGGCACGGGAGGCCGGCGGCCGCTGTGCAGACAGGCCTGGCTGCTGTCCCATGTCTCAAGTTTGAATCAAGAGACCAAGGACAAGATGTGTTTTAAAAATGTAAGTCTCGGGGTGCCTGGGTGGTCAGTTGGTTGAGCATCCAACTTCGGCTCAGGTCATGGTCTCACGGTTGGTGGGTTTGAGCCCCGTGTCAGGCTCTGTGCTGACAGCTCAGGGCCTGGAGCCCACTTCGGATTCTGTGTCTCCCTCTCTCTCTGCCCCTCCCCGACTTGCACTCTGTCTCTTTCAAATAAACATTAAAAAATAAATAAATGTAACTCTCAGAAAGTGTGGTGGGTCCGGATTGCTCTGGGAAAGCGTTTCCTTCCCATGGGGGTGGCTGGGCTGGTCCAGAGGAGGGGACTGCACTGTGTGTGAGTTCCAGGAGCCCCCAGGCTCACACTCATAGGTTTCCTGTGTGTTCACCATTTCTTTTGCTCTGTTGTTTCCAAACACAGCCTGGTTCTCTGTTTACAGCTAGAAAGCAGGGCGTGTCTGAGGTGGCTTCTTCTCTCCTTTGCAAAGATTACGGTCAATTTGCAAGTATTGATGGAAGCAGTCAACTGTCCAGCAGTGGCTTCGTGGGTTTTTTTTATTGTTTTTTTGTGTTGTGGGTTTTTTTGTTTTGTTTTGTTTTAATTCTTTTTATCTTAGAGAGAGAGAACATAAGCAGGGGAGGGGCAGAGGGAAAGGGAGAGAATCCCAAGCAGGCTCCATGCTTAGTGCAGAGCCTGACACAGGGCTCAATCAATGCCACAACCCTGGGCTCATGACATGAGCTGAAATCAAGAGTCGGACGCTCAACCGGCTGAGCTGTAACTGTGAAGGGAAATGTGGTTGTCATGGGGCCCGGCCACACGGCCAGAGCATAGTACCTGCTGAATCTCAGGTTCCTCCGTCATGGCTTGGTAATGGTCAGCTCGCTTGTAGAAAATTCTATAGTGCTGTGTGCAAGGCCAGTTAAAGACAGAAGCAGTTGAACATGGAATTGTCTGAAAATGGACAGGTTGGAAGGGCCCCTACTCTGGACTCCCAGAAGCTGCCTTTCCCTAGGCAGAAAGGTGAAGACCATTTATCTCAACTTGAAGGGAGCTGACGAGGCATTGGGTGTTTTGTCTTGACATATCTTTCTTGATTCTTTGGTAAGACATTGCCATCACTCTCCACGGTTTGGTTTTGTCTGACATGGGAGTAGAACCTGAAAGCCTGTGAGGGGTGGGCCTGGGGAGGTCACGTGGCCTGTCGGGGCACCCTGGACGGTGCTGGCAGGACCTGGCCCCCACATCTGGGCCCACCCACCACAAAGAGGGCCAGGGTGGGGGCTGGGGTGCCCCTCACGCATGGAGGTGTCCTGCTGCAGCCGTTTCCATGGTGGTTACACCTGTCCTATTTCCTGGTTTGCTGTGTCAGGGCCGGCCACGTGTGTGGCCTCCGGGTCACTTCCCTCTTCTCTCTTCTGTCCCAGGCCGGGTGTCCTTCTTTACCTCAGGGTCCGAGAACCTGCACCGTGTGGAGAAGGTCCACTGGGGCACCCGCTACGCCGTCACCATCGCCTTCACCTGCAACCCCGACCACGGGATCGCAGACCCTGAGTTCACGTAGCCCTCCTGTTCACGGCGCCCTCCCGCTGGGAAGCAGCCACACGGAACAGAACGTCCTCCTCTCCCCATTTCAGCCCATTTCCTTTGAACAAGGTGCCTTATGAATCACCCTGGATTTTGATTTCCTGATGTTTCGATCGTTTGTTGTCCGTAAGTAAATTAGGGGGAAGCAGCTTTTCACCACCAAGCACTGTGTGTTTGCTTCGGCGTGCTGTTGACATCAGGCCCAGAAGCTAGCAGCGACCCTTCCCCAAGAAGGGATCCCGGGGCCCTGGGTGGAAATTCCCATTTGTGAACAGATAATCATTTGCCTGGGCCTCATCCAGATTCATCCGCCGAAGACTGACTTTTGAATGTGGATGATGCCATGACCTGTAGAGAAGGTCCAGTGAGTGCACGGCTCTGGGAGACACATTGGGGGCCGAGGACCTGAGACATCAGTGATGTGAGTCCCTTCTGACACGGCATCTTCCAGAAACCAAGCTGGTCACACCCTGCAGGAGCCCCGGTGATGCTCTGCATAGGAAGGCAGGGTGCGGGGTAGGCCAGGTGGGGCAGCGGGAATCGATTCCCCAGACGGCACGTATAATTTGGGGGAGCGCCGGCAAAGTACAAAGCAGCAGATCAGACATCGTGACAGTGGATTGAGGCCAAGCAGAGGACAGGACACCAATAAACTAACTGTCAGCTGAACCTCAGGCCCCTAGGCTCCAGGGGGCCGTGGGGAAGGAAGGAACGTCACTGATTGCTCGTCCAGACCCTTTTGGACTGACTGACGTAAATACCGGTGTTCAACTTGATCTTGAATTTCAGAAGAAGTGAGTGTAGGGCTGGCCCACTGCCCTCCCTGAATCCAGGTAGCCCCTCCCTGGGCAGGGGCTCTGCAGGTTCCTGTTCACCGTCCCAGCCTCCCCCCTGCCCTCCGTTCCCCACTTCACCCCCACCAGCTGTGTGCTGTGCCCCACAGAGTGGCAGGGGAGGGTCCGCAGCCGGTGACCAGAGCGGGTGCCTGAGCCCTGTTCCCCCTGCAGCCCTGCCCTGACATTTCTTCTGGGTCCACACCTTGGAGGCCAAGCAGACCCAACAGAGCTGGGGGTACAGGCAGTCCCTCATCCTGAGAAGGCCTCATGGTGGGCATCATGGGTGACGTCCCAATCCCTGTGGACACAAGAGGCGGGGGCTCATGATCTTGCCCCAGTCACACAGCTGGCCGGTGCCAGCTTGAGCTCTCTGGGTTTCCCGGGCCCGGGAGCATTCCCTGTCCTCTCGTGCTAGAGAAGACAGATGTGAGGGGGGCCTATTCCTGGAAAATGCCCATGAGGGTGAGGAGGGGATGGGCGCCATCCAGGGTCTCCACGTGCCCAGGGTGGGTTACTGGACCAAGGCTCTGTTCCCAGGAAAAAGTGGGCCATATGTTTATACCTGCCCCCCCCCC